TATAGATGCATTGTTAACCAAAAATTGAACCTTCTCAAGTTAGAACCTTATTTAATGTTAACATTTGTCTGAAAAGCCCTTTTATAAGGTACAAAGATCGTAAGAACCTTTGGAAGTTATCTAGACTTCTGTTCAGGTCCCTTGAATAGAGGCCTTATGACAAATCCCATTATTAATACTTGGGTCATCACTGAGTATACATAATCTCACTTGAAGCAAAGGAAACTTATTGCTTCAATAAATTTAAGTTGGAGATTCAGAACCAGTTAGGGAGGAGAATTATGATTATCATAACTGACAAGGGGCGTGAGTACATAGGAGAATTGTCTGGGACAAATTCTCTCAAGATCATAGGATTCATCAGCAGGAAATAATGTCCTATAGTCTGTAGCAATATGGTGATGCAAGAGAAGGAATCATATCGTACATGACATTGTAATGTTCATGATAGCACAAGTATATCTATATGTGAGCTCCAAAGAGATCCTTTATTGGCTGTAGCATGCATATTGAATAGGGTGCCGTCAAGGTCTTTGTCTTAAAACCCCTCAAGAAATTATGGTGACTAATCTGAGATCACATCTATGCAAATTTTAGTCCTTGGGTGTCAGTTGTGCTTGTTATCCCATTTGGCAATGAGTTAAACTAGAGGTCTATAGTGTAAACCTTGCTAGGTGTTTTAAGAACTCCAATGGTTATGTCTTGGGTTGAGAGTCTGAAGACGGTGACTTGAAAATATTGAATCCTATGATGGTGATTTTGTTGAGCTGAATTAGGAGGTCTTGGATGACTATCGATCTCAAATAGATAATGCTGAGGAGATACCTCCACTAGAGGATGATAGTGGGACTATTTTCATAATCATTAAGGACAGTGAAAGGGAATCACCATTATTTCCTGAACCTCATTGGGCTTAGGAACTTTTGAGATTGAAGAGGTCTAGCCTGCATCTCCACTAATGCGAATGAACGAGGTCCATATCAGGAACACTAAGGCCCTTTGTTGCTGGCAATTGGATTGCCCCAATGGATTGAGAGATAAAAGTTTTATGGAGATGAACTGAGTATGGGAATCAAGGATCTTTCCCTCTGATAATAGTTCGATGGGACTATACACAAAGCCCAGCTAGAGGGCATGAAAAACCCAGCTCAAATTTCTCTGGACAGTATTGTTCTAGCATCTGAAAAGCATCATCATCTTCACCTCAACAGCTAGGGGCCTGAAACAAGCCCCAAAAATAGTACATCATGTAATAATACAAAGGTAGATCATTGGCAACCCAAAAGAAGGTTGGACTAGTTCCTTTTTTTAAGTAATGTAGGTATCACTCTATTTTGTGACTTAGTATATCTTATAACACATTATTTAGACAACATCTTACGTATCATGTAACGGTGTGACGATAAAAGGCTCGGGTAGCCAGTGCAAGAGTGTGGGTTTGAGTCCTGAGAGTGGCCACTTTTTACATAAGCTAAAAGTTATGACCGTTTCCAGTCCACCACTCCCAGGATCCTGCTTAGATAGGACCAGAACCGGATTATGGCCATTTTTATCTTACATATCATATAATGCATATTATAGAACGTCCATTTTCAAGTGTTTATAGGTCTATTATTTGTAACACATTTTATCTATCTTACATATCATATAATGCATAAACGTCCATTTTCAAGTGTTTATAGGTCTATTATTTATAACACATTTTGTCTATCTTACATATCATATAATGCATATTATAGAACGTCTATTTTCAAGTGTTTATAGGTCTATTATTTGTAACACATTTTATCTTGTATGTATTTGGACCATCCATTTCCAGCTTTAGTAAATCTACCCGATCTATCCCATTTAAAGCTTCCAATGTTTTAATGAGACTTGAAAAGATTTCTAGGTTATTACAGAGGTTTACAGCATTACAGTTGCATTTCCTCAAGGGGTTTTGAGGTGCACTTCTACTTTTCATGATAAGGAATAGGGGCCTTATGTTACCACGCCAAACCATAAAATGAATAAATTGGCCAAATTAGAGCTCTTTGTTTTCTTCTTCTTTTTTTATTTTTTATATTTAAGATCTATGGTTGTGAAACTAGTTGATGGATTTTCTTGCTTTCAAGTCCTCAATCTAGTGTTGCATGGCATCGATACGGTTGCCATATCTAGTATGTGTGTCACGTGTCTAGCAGTATTTGTAAAATTGAATCGGAACAGTTAATTAGACATGGGGCTGGGATCGGTTAGAACCATAACCGGAGTAACCAGTTAACTAGATTTTTTTTTTTTAAACAGATCAAAACCCCAAAAAAATAAAATAAAAATACAAAAATTTAGATTAAGAGTATAATATCTTATTATATACATTTATCTAACAAAAAAAATTAAAACAATTTTTTATATAAATTAATATTTGAATATTATAGTCATGTACATCATTCCAAACAGGTTATATAAATCTTTTTGTTTCCTAGAATGAAGAGTGGTAATAAATTTTCAAAACCTTACCACAAATGTATTTCCCCAATGTAAATATGCACTCCAGATATTCGTGTGTTGCAGAAACATTACATTAGTCTATACTTATTACTAAAAAATATAAGCACACATATATATTTATGCACTCCACTTTCAAGTTTTACAACACTTCAAGATATTGTTGATCATAATTAGAAAGAATGGAAAAGAAATTGATCCACCAACTTTTACAGGTCACAAGGTAGAGACGCCGATACATAAGATGTCACAAGGTAGAGACGCTGATATATATAGGTTGTGTCATATTAATCAAAACAACATATTTCTATCAAAATAAATATTTTTATCAAAAAATATTATTTTATTAATAAAAATAGAAAAGCACTTTCTATATTCATCACAAATTATAATTTTATTAAGCAAAATACCTTTTTTTTTTTGAAAAATTGATTTATCAAAAACTTCTAAAATCGAGCAATATTTCAAGCAAGAAACAACTCTCAATATTCAGGTAATCAAACAAATCGACACACAAGCACCGTAAAGGCTTCGATTACCCTTCAAATGCACAAAAAATCATAAAAAAATATTTGGTGTTTTTATTTAATTGAAAGAAATCGTGAAAAATTTAGATATGTGAAATTGAGCAAGAAAAAAATTTATATAAAAATATTTACTTAATAATAAATAAGCATACCTATTTTATGTGACAGATGAAGCCTTGACGATTAAAATACACAAATCAATTTGATAAACCCCCCAATATTTTGTATTTTGAACAAATTGAAAGAGGTACATGGTAGATAATTCGATTAGAATTAAAAACCCTCAAATTTCAGCAAAAACCATTGACTATTGAAGATGATATTGATGGAATAGCGAAAATTTAAAAAAGGCGTGCAAATCGGCCATTTCAATCCACAAAATCTCTTGATTTTTCAACGTTGGATTCAAATTTGCCTTTTTTTTATAGAGAATAAATAGTGTTTTATAGCTATAAAGCATGAAAAAAGCCAAAACATGGCAAAAAAAAAACGAATAAAAAAATTTGAAAAAATCAACACGTGAATTCCATCATCAAATAATGACTTCAATTGAAAATAATAGGTGTTATTTTAACTGTATCATTATTTGTTCATAAAACCCGTTATATTCTCTAACCGGTCCAGTTAACATAAAAACCGGCCAAATTGACCAAAACACAGTCGGTTCAATGCCTAACCAGCCAGTTTTGAGCTTGAAATTTTACGGGGTGGGTTGTACCTTACATCCCAAAACGGCCCCTAACCAAACTCAGAACCCTAACCGTTCTGAACTAACCTGCCCGTTTTTCTAACAATGACTTTAACTATTGGCATAACAACTGTGAAACAAGTTCAGTTGAAGGTGAGGTGGATGCTACGTCTCGTTAACTCACGGTTCAAAGCACATGAATATGAATTACATTTTCTTCTAAATTAATGGGGATGCCGTGTTTCACTAAAACATGCCTTATAACTGTACTAACATAATGTGTTGGGCTTGATTTTTTTTCAAACACACTTGGACCGCATGTTAACCTGGATCTGCATTTAGATGTGTCGACATGTATCCGGGTATCTATACATGTCAAGGTAATACTACCTCAATTCATCTCATCTCTATGATAGCTTTTGAGTGAGGTGTCATTAAATGCAATCACAGCTGTGCCAAAACCTAAGCCCGCAATTTAATGACCAACGTGATACACCTGTTGATGAACAATATGGGCTGAAATTGCCTAAGATTGTGTGAAAAAATGCAGAAATATTGCCTAATAAAGGGGACAGTAAAGATCTTAAAAGAATGAAAAAAAAAACAGCTTAACTTTGAATCAGGTGAACTAGTAGGTTTAACCATTCATATCAGATTTTGAGCGGACCGAATTTTGATTATATGGTTTTAAATGGGATGGGTACGGCTTAGATGTAGTAGACCGAACCCCAACCCATTGGGTTCGATGGTTGGGTCAAGTCAACCCACCAGGTTGAGAGGTTCACCTGACCCATTTGGCACCCCTACTTGACCAGTTGTGGCCTGATTTTCGACTTATTATAACCTTTTATTAGACTGTAACTGATATTTGGTGCTGATTCAATCAAACTGGCCAATCCAGTCCAATTCTGATAACATCAAATATAACTTCCACAGTGTTGCACATATAAGGACAATTCATAAAAGATTATCTGCTCCCACCAGAGCATGTGCTACATTTACTCCCCTGGTAAACCCTATCCAAGAGCAATTTAGGACTCCAAATTTTGAGAATGTAACGTAATCAAGAATAAGGACCATCCAATTTTGGGAAAGGGAAAATATGAGTGCTTTGTTACTCAAAATCCTATTGGTTTTTAAAAAATACTCATAAGGTGATTTTGAAGCAGAATCCAAAATTTCAGATCAGAAAATCCTCCAAACAACGTCTTTTGCCTGAAGAAGTGTACCGCATGCTCCAGAGTAGAGCACTACGCACTCTAGAGAGAGAGAGAGAGAGAGAGAGAAAGAGAGAGAGATTGGGCCCAAGGTGTGTTGTCTTTAAATGAGAGAGTTAACCAAAGACTATAATACACAAGTAGGCTCCTAAAACATAGCGATCAAAGCAAAAAATCATGAGTATTGGTGAAAGGAAAGTCTACTAGGGGAGTCAATTCTCACAATGTGGTCATCTTCTCCACCTGATTCATCACTTGAATCATCCTCAATTTCCCTGCTTTTCCCAGGAAGGGTCGTAACTGGTTGTGTTTGTTGCTCGAGGTCTTTTGTTATAAAATGCTTGTTCATGGTGGCTCCTTCTGATTTTGCAGACATGAGGGGTCGAGCAGTGGTTTGCTTGGTAGACTTCAAGGGAACTCTTGGATACGAGAGACTATGCGCTGGCTTTGGACTATAACTCCAAGGGAATCTTCGGGGACATTGGCCATCACTCACCTGCAGTTTAAGTTCAAACGTTTTGAAGTAAGACATCAGCATTGGGTAGTAAAATATATTCACACAAAAAATAAGTGAAGCAAACTCTATCTCTAAATAAATAAGCAAGTGAAATGAACCCTCCCTCCCTCCCTCCCTCCCTCCCTACATTGGCCGTCACTCACCT